TGTGTGTGTGTGTGTGTGTGTGTGTGTGTGTGTGTGTGTGTGTGTGTTGTATTACGAGCCCCTGCGTCTCTCTCTCACTCTCGGTCGGTGGTTTCTCGGTAAGACCGTGTGAAAGACAGAGATCGATCACTTGTGGAAGAAGCAGTGAGCATCTCAACCTCTCGCTCTCTTTTGGTTGAACAGAGAGCACTCCATCATCGGTGGTAGCTACTGTAGCATTCTTTGTATGCCTGTGGATCGAGCTCGCAGTTAGCGTATTGAGGTATTAGAAGCATTCGTTAGCAGTCAGAATGGTTCTCGCTCCACCACTCTGACTAATTTGCAAAATGAGAATGAACCTTGCGCTAGAACATGGAAAGATGCACCGCTATGTTTTTTGTCTTTTGCTCATGTGGCAAGTAGTGGAGCGAGGCCCAATGCTACAAGCTAGGCAGCAAGCATTCCTTAGCATTCCGCTGCTGGAATACAGCGCGCGCCGCGCACTACGCACACGTGTCTGCTGTGATCTATTTTTATCATGCTTGTGTTCTAGGACCGTCATCCTCTCAAACGGCCCACTTGTCTGTCGTGAGCTATCTTTAGCAAGCTTCTCGCTTTTTTTTCCTTCTTCTTTTTTTTCCCCCCTTCTCGTTTATTACCGTCATCCTCTCCAAACGGCCCACGTGTCCGTTGTGAGCTCTTCTTAGCAAGCTTCCCGTTTGTTCCCCCCCCCCCCCCCCTCTTCTTCTCGTTTATTACCGTTATCCTCAAACGGCCCACTTGTCTGTTCTGAGCTATTTTTAGCAAGCTTGTCGTTTATTACCGTTTAATACGCGTTTCTCCTCACACGACGGACGTGTCTGTTCTGATCTATTTTTAGTAACCAGCTGCTAGTCATCCTCAAACGGCCCACTTGTCTGCTGTGAGCTATTTTTAGCTATTTTTAGCAAGCTTGTCGCTTATTACCGTTTATCCTCACACGACGTACGTGTCTGTTCTGATCTATTTTCAGTAACCAGCTGCTAGGCAGCCTAGGCGGACTGGTTCTTGTCTATCCTGCTCCATAGCTTCTTTCGCACGTCCACGTACCAGTGTCTCGCACGGCCCCACGATGTCCCACAGTGTTCCACACCGTTCCGCATTGTCGCAGACTGTGCGACACTGTCCCCCACAGTCCCGCAGTGTCCCAAATTTCTCCCGAACACTGTTTTCTTCATCCCGGTGTCCGCACATTGTCCTAATTTATGCCGCACTGTCGCACACTCTCCCACATTGCCCCCACACTGTGCGACAACCTCCCTTCGCTGTCCAGCAGCGTCCCAATCTCTCCGTCACACGTTTTTCCTCATCCCGCAGTCCGCACATTGTCTCAATTTATCCCGCAATTTCCCTATGTCCCACATTGCCAACATTGTCCCACACGCCCCGCACAGGGCCGCACTGTCCCACTCTGTGCGACACCTCCCTGCACTGTCCCGCAGTGTCTCAGTTTCTCCGTCACACGGTTTTTCTCATCCCACAGTCCGCACATTGTCTTCACTTTCCCCCACTGTCCCTTCCCCCCCACTGTCCCCCACCACTGTCTCCCCCACTGTCCCCCACTGTCCCGCATGGTTCCACACTGTGTCCCTTTGTCACATGAATGCCATAAAGTGACCGTCATTCAACTTCAAGACACAGAGCGGGGACCACCCACACGTTGTCGCAAAGCGCGCCAAGTTTGTTTCCTGTCAACCGTCCTACGTTTCGCCGTCCCAACCCTATTTCCCGAAATGCG